GCCCAGACGAGCGGGGATTTGAACTCATTCAAACGGGGCCTACCGGCCCTTCTGTTTCTTTTTTCTTACATCTACGGCTTCCTTGGGGGGGGAGAAGGCCCCCCGCGAAGAARAAAARAAAAAAAAAAAAAACCTCTGTGATGCGCTGGGGTCGCCCGGTGGCCAACCGGGYGGGACGACCCGCCAGGCGGCCYGGCCCCCCGCCCGGGCGACAAGCYGGGYGCCGGGCGGCCCGGAGTGCAGCCTATACAAGATCTTGATTTTTTCGCTATCATTTTTTTACTATTTTAGTATTTTTAGTTGATTATGTTAGGAGAATTGCTGTTCTGTTTTTATTTGTGGAAATTGTGGTTATAATGCTGAATATAAAGACAGCAGATATAGAAGAAATTTAAATATTACCAACAGAATTGAGTACAAGTCGTGTAAAATTGTTTGTTTGTTTGTTTGTTTTTTAAGGCTTATTCTTTAAGCCCAGCCAATTCAATTACCTCAATTTACCTGTCGAATCTGGACAGGACTGCGTTTCAGGGCTTCCCCGTAATACTATAATGGCAGGAAATTGTATTTCAAGTTCAGGTACGTATTGCCAGCAATGTTAAAAAAAAAAAAAAAAAAGAATCACGTAGATGCAAAAACAGCCCTAAAAGAAGCAGGTAGAGCAGAATGCCCCTGCGAAATTTCAAAAGCATAGTGAAATGCCCTTTTGGATTTAAATCTTTCTGTCATACCCCTCTTGTCAGGAGGTTGGCAAGTTTGTGCTATACCCCTGTCGGGGTTAGATTCCAAACTTGCACAACCCCTTCACATGGGCCGATTGCAAACTTGCACAACCCCTTCACATGGGCAGATTGCAAACTTGCACAACCCCTTCACATGGGCAGATTGCAAACTTGCACAACCCCTTCACATGGGCAGATTGCAATGATTTAAACCCAAAAAAAGGGCATTTGACAACGCTTTTGAACCTTCACAGGGGGTATTCCGCTATGCCCACCTCTTTTGAGGGTATTTTAGAACGTACGTTTTCGCTGACATAAAGTGGGAAAAACAAAAAAAAAGGCTTTTTGCTACCTTTCGATCTAAAGGTTTCTTCTGGTGAAAAGTCTAACAGAATTTTTACGCTGACCTTGCTTGCTTAGCTTCGATCTTCTGATCGCTCGTAGCTCCTTCAGCTTTTCAATCATGATAATCATTTCCAGCTGCTCACAAAAAAAAAGAAAGGCAAAAAAAAACATGAGCCATAACAAAAAACAGAAATGCAATGCAAACACCAAATTGTCTCGTCACAGACTCTTCCACTTACCTAATTTCTTCAATCCAACAAAAGATCAGAAGATCGAACCAGATGGTCCAACCAAGTTGTCCAACCAAATGGTCAACGGAAGGTCAATCAAGTAGTCAAACAAATGGTCAACAAGGCATTTATTCATTGAGATCAACCAAGGAGTCCGTCAAACGGCCCACTAAAAATGGCCAAGCAAACAACCTTCTTTCTTAAATCAACGAAAAGAACACCCCAATGACCAACCAAAGGTCAACCAAAGGTCAACAAACGGTCAACAAACGGTCAACAAACGGTCAACAAACGGTCAACAAACGCTCAACAAACGGTCAACAAAAGGTCAACACAAGTCAAACAAATGGTCAACAACCTGACAATTCATCAACAGCAACCTAGGAGTCAGCCAAACGATCAATTAAACGGCCATGAAACCAAATGTCCTAGCTCAGTTGGTACACCCAAATTGACCCAATTAACTGTTAAAAGTACAGACCCAAGTTCGGATCCCGATGGAATCAGATGAACAGAATAGAATGTTTCTGAATTACCTGGGGCCGGTCAGTCCACTGATGCATATATCTAAAGTGCATCGCCCTTCAAAAAAAAAAAAAAAAAAAAAAAAAAGGGCCACTAAACCCGCCGATTTTAAAACGGTCAAACTAAACAGAGTCAACTAAACAGCCAACTAAAAACAGCAAGCTAAACGGCCGGGCGACCAAACGGTCAAGCACAAGGTCTACCAAATGGTCCCAGAGTCGCGGTCGGAATGGTCCCAGTCGATGGAAACCACAAGTCCATCAGATACGCACACATTGTTGACTTTTCGTTCTGCACTTGACCTGACCTTCTAGTCAAGTACAAGGTCTACCAAATGGTCATTCTCAGCTTGGATGAAGCACTGCTTGTGCAGGCAGAAAAAAAGGTCTCTGCTGACTCTTCTGAGACCTGTTTGGCGATGGCAAACAAGTCAACTGCGTGACCACGAAGTCACCCGCACGACCAAATGGTCAACTGCATGACCAAAAGTCAAGCCACGTGATCAACCAAAAGTCAAACCACGTGATCAACCAAAAGTCAAACCACGTGATCAACCAAAAGTCAACCACGTGATCAACCAAAAGTCGACCACGTGATCAACCGAAAGGTCACAGAAACCAAACATCAACGCCGCGTTATGAACACACCGAAAGGGTCAAACAACCAACCAACCAACAACAGTACTGAGATCAACATGCAATGAACCTCCTACAGTCTTCCTCCGAATACAACTTAAGGGTCATTATAGCCGAATTTGGTGCATCTTTCAGTCTAAATACACAGCTATAATGACCGTACGTTGTATTCGGGGGAAGACTATAGTTCAACACCAGCGAATGCACATATTCACACTTCATGCATATACAAGATCACACGGAGTTCACACTGAAGACCAGAGAGATTAAGACCAGATAACGAAAATGAATTCCAACAAGTTATAGAAGAGCAATAAGAGTTCCCGAGTCACCAGCGCACATCAGCGCATGTCAAAGGTATCCAATCATCCAACATGATCACCCAGGTAAGTTTCGACTTCCTCCCTGCTCTTCTCTCTCTGAGTTGTATCACCCCTCCTTGCCGGTCTTCTCCCTAGCTCCTGATCTCGCTGTATCTTCTCTCCCTACATGCATGCACACTCACACTGACTTCTACCCTCAAAGATCTACTCTGAATACACCCGCTGTTAACTCTACTAACTCTCTGAAGACTAATACTAAATACTAACACTAACACCCTGTGCTGGCGCAACTATGGCTGCCTTCTCTCTGCCAGGGCTGTCTTCCTCTCTCTCTCTCCCTCTTTGCGCAGCACTCTGGCTTCAGCGCTCTGCCCCTCACATTAGCGCACAAGTGCACCAGCACTTCCACACTCTTTGCGAATGAGCAATCTGCCTGAATGTGAGGCTGGCCAGTCCTTTTGTAGTCTTGGTTTGCACTTCAACTCCTGCCAGCCTCTGTTTCTTGGGTCCTGACTGGTTCCGGTACCACATCCCCACGGCCTGTCTGCTACTGAATGTCAAGGCCTAGAACCTTCCCGAATTTCCATTGAACTGCTGCTGCTTGGGCCTTTGAGTCATGACGTTTCACTTTTGAACATGACTTTTCACTGTGAACAGTGACTCCTGCCTGTGGGTCACGACCTTTGCCTGTGATTCTACCTTTTACTCGTGGGATGTGTCTCTTCAATATGACTTTTCATTAGGAAACGTGACTCCTACCTTTGAGACATGACTCTTGCTTGGTGAATCTGCCTTTTCTTCACTCGTGGGATGTGACTCTTCTGAACGGTTTTTATTATGGGACGTGACTCTTGTCGCTAAAACCTGACTGTTTGCCGAGTGCCTGTTGGACCAGACTGCTGAGGTACCCGATTGTGACTTTTCTGAGTTTGACGAACTCGGCCTTTCCTTGACCTGGGCATCTGACCCTGAAGTCCGAATTTGGGGTCTGAATCATGGAAGGCCTTTCAAACATGCAAAAAAGAAACAAAACAAAAAAAAAGGGCAATCATCCCCCCACAATCAGATTGTAAACCGTGTCATCTGAAACGTTAACCAAGCTGTCACCCTGTCAATTCACGTGGTCAACGAACTGGTCAAACAAATGGTCAACCAGACCGTCAACAAAATGGCACATGAATTGCAAACCACACAGTCAACCAAATGGTCAACCAGAGGGTCAAACAGAGGGTCAAACAGAGGGTCAAACAAGTTTTTTGCTCGATCCACCATAGGCAGAACTCTATCCAGATGCTTTCACTTCAACGGTTCTCCCAATACGCCCTCCCCCCAACCCACAACCAGATTGTAAATGGTGTCATCTGAAACGTTAACCAAGCTGTCACCCTGTCAATTCAAGTGGTCAACGAACTGGTCAAACAAATGGTCAACCAGACGGTCAACAAAATGGCACATGAATTGCAAACCACACAGTCAACCAGATGGTCAACCAGAGGGTCAACCAGAGGATCAACCAGAGGGTCAAACAGAGGGTCAAACAGAGGGTCAACAGAGGGTCAAACAGAGGGTCAAACAAGTTTTTTGCTCGATCCACCATAGGCAGAACTCTATCAAGATGCTTTCGCTTCAACGGTTCTCCCAATACGCCCTCCCCTCCTGCCCTCCCCTCCCCTCCCCCCCCGGCCCTCCTCCCCTTTTTTTTTACCCTTGGGAGGACAAAATTCAAACCAAACAGCCAATTGCGTGTGAATGTACGCGAGTGTGTTTTACTCCTTTCTTTTCGGGACATCTGTTAAAATTGGAGCGATACAGAGAAGATTAGCATGGCCCCTGCGCAAGGATGACACACATAAATCGAGAAATGGTCCAAATTGAAAAAAAAAAGAAAAAAAGAAAAAAAAAAACGGCCTACTGTTGAAATTGGTTTGTGTGGACAGAGCTTCTAAATCGGACATGAATGATAGTCAACAAAAAGCCAGAGAAGGGTCAACCAAACAGTTTGACCCAAGGAGGAGGGGTCAACTACCGAGCAGTCAACGGTCAACCAAAAGCTTTTCCTTTAAATGATCGGATTTTTTTACTAAGATAAAAGAACAAACGTGCAAGGTGGATGAATGTTTTCACCGGGGAATACATCTATATACGAAATGAATTCCGACGGTAAAAAAAAAAAAAAAAAAAAAGTCTGTCGCAGCCCCTCGCTTGTTGTCCTCTTCTCCCTCTCTACCTACGGTTCACCGGGCAGTTCTCTATGGCGATATATATATCTATATAGAGTATTATGAAAGGCCTTCCACGATTCAGACCTCAAATTCAGGTCTCAGGGTCAGAGGCCCGGTCAAGAGAGACCGAGCTCGTCAAATTCAGAAAAGTCACAATCGGGTACCTCAGGAGTCCAGTCCAACAGGCACCCAGCAAACAGTCACATCTTAGGGGCAAGAGTCACGTCTCAGAATGAGAAGTCATATTGAAGAGTTACATCCCACAAGTAAAAGGGCAGTTCCACAGGCAAGAGTCGTGTCCCAGAGGCAGGAGACACAGTCCATAGTCAAACGTCATGTTGACAAATGAAAAGTCATGACCCAAAGGCCCAAGCAGCAGCAGACCCCTGGAAATTCGGGAAGCTTCCAGGCCTCGACATTCAGAAGCGGACAGGCCGTGGGGATGTGGTACTGGAACCAGTCAGGCCCCAGAAAGCAGAGGGTGGCACGAGTTGAAGTGCATTCCAAGACTACAAAAGGACTGGCCAGCCTACCATTCGAGCAGATGCTCATTCGCATGGGAGTGTGGAAGTGCTTGTGCACTTGTGTGCTCTAGTGTGGGATCTGCGCTATGCCAGAGAGCAGCGCGGCGCGAGATGAGAGAGAGGAAGTAGACGCTGGCAGAGAAGAAGGCAGCCATAGCTGCGGCAGCACTAGGAGGCAACGTAGTTAGTAGTTGTTAGTAATAGGGCAGCGAGTAGTATTCAGAGTTGATCCTCATGTGTGTGTTAGTAGTAGGGAGTGCGCATGTGAGAGAAGAGGAAGACTGTGAAGAGTGAAGACCAGAACCATCAAGTGAGAGAGAGAGATTAGAAGGAGAGAGAGTGAGCTATGGTAGATGCTTACCTGAAGGGTGTTGAACTTGATGTTGGAAACAGGCGCTGATGAGCGCAGATGCTGAGATTCTTGATGATGGAAGAAGACTTGTAATCTTGTTGAGCGTTGGACAGTTGAACTCTTGAATCTCTCTTTTAAATCTAGTTGTGATAATTGAGCTGTGCTATCTGGTTTACGACTTATCTACTCTTTGTGCAAAGTGTGTGACAATGCAATCTGTGAATCTGTGAGGCTTGCATGCTGACTTGAGCACTCCATCGTGTGGTGAGCTTTGAGGCTCATTGCAATTATAAACACACATATATATATATCGTCAAATAGAACTGCCCGGTAAACCGTAGGCAGAGAGGGAGAAGAGGACAACAAACGAGGGGCTGTGACAAACTGTTTCGTCGGAGTTTCACCGACTCATCAGGAGGCTGAACCCTCAACAGTCTG